CAAAAGATACCCCCACACTCAAGACATAGAACCTCCACTAAGTATAATTGGGATACGTTTTGCTGAAGACGTAATAAATGGGAATCGACAACTTGCATTAATTCTAAGTAAAACCGTTACCTCTTACACTATCGCATGTTTAATAGAAAATGAACAGAAAACTACCTTACGTTCAGCTCTTTTGCAGTAATGCCTATGTACCATTCCAGTTGATTGTCAGTACATCGTGTCCGTGTTGATCCTGCACCTGTATTTACTTCACTAGTTAATGACGAATTACTCAAAACTTATAGCATTCATTAAGATATAGGACGAAATAAAAACATCATCAAAACTCCCGTTGTGATATCGGAATTTACAGATGAATTGTTGAAATTCGAACCCCATTGCACTTCAATGTCTTCATTAATACTATCCCGTTTAAATGCTAGGATAAGAAGTCGTGGACTCTGCCAGAGAGTGATCCGTGATCAATTTTCCAACGAACCCTTCTCTGTTTCAAACCACGAGCTTATGCAATCTCAACATGACCTTCGACATCGATATTATTATGCGTATTGTGTTTAAGGAAACTACGAAAGTCTTTAAAGCACATCTCAGAAAAAAATATATTTATTTCTATTTTTCTTAATATATTTTGACAATCAAGCTATTTCTTGTAACAAAATATATGTATCTTTCATGCCACAAATGGTATGTTTCTACTTTACAGGAGTGCCACATGGATATGAAAAGCAGTTTGTCTTTGGTGATCCATTTCCTAATAAAGGATCTGATATAGATTTAATGATGAGTTTAACTATGATGAATTTGTGGACAAATTTTGCTAAATATCAGAAACTTTTACAGAATTTTTACTATTTATAATTATAATATAATATATATTATAATATTTTAAACTATGAAATGAAATTTTTTGCTATAGCCAATAAGAGTGTCATCTTTTCCGATGCCATCGCTTAAAGCTAGTATATCATATTTGTGTTTATTTAGTATTTTAAACTGCATCTCAAGGATGCATCATCAAGCTACTATCTTGTAGTAAATAACGAGTAAGATTTGATGACATTGTCTGTATTTGCATTTTTTGTTATCGAATAGGTGTTCGACAACCTACTTTTGGACTGCTATAAACATAAGGACATGGAACTGAAAGCTACTATGGTGATGAGGCTGGTGCACTTTTATTTGGATTATACATTTATTTCAGTAATCCAACACCTCAACCAGTTTATGGATCGACATGGATACCTTTTACACCAGTCGATCCCTACCAAGATCATGTATCAGGATGGTAGCGACGCGTGCTCGCTAGTCCGGGGGTCAATCCAGTTTCTCCACGTCAGTGAGGCAGGCCCTGGGATTACTTGGAAAATGTATCTAATCGTTCGGATGTGACCACAAACGGAGGCCCCATGTGCTACAGCCTGTGTACGTTAAAGATCCCTCAATACTCAACATAAAGAAATAGAAAGAGTAGTCTGATACCGCCGATCTCAAAAACGCATATGCTCAAATACGGAGCACATGTGTCTTCTTAGATAGCTTGCCAACTTCTAGAAGTGAAATGAATACGATCATCCGATTGTTAACAATTTCGAAATTGACTGAGATCTCATCAATATACATACATCAAAATTTTATCAAGATGGGATAAAAAAATAATCTAGCCCCTATCTTGCCAAACCTAACACAAACTCAAGGGCAATAACTCTTAAAACGTCCATCCGATTATTACAAGTTTTGAACTCGACTGAGATCTTATCAATATATACATGCATACTAAATTTCATTAAGATTAGTTAAAACTTGTAGTCTCTATTGTGCCTACAAGAAAAGTGGACCGACGGACAGGGTCGACGACAATATACGTTCACATTTCCATATGGGCGTATACGAATGATTGATACATAGGGCAAAAAGAAAATCTTTAGGACAGGATACTAAAATGTTGTGTGAGCAGAATGTCGTAATCAATGTCCAAAAGAGTTCTTTCCTTATTGCACATAGAAACTAAAAAAAGCAGCCACTCCTAATGGAGGCTATTATGATCTGCCATACTGCCACAATTAATATGCTTCAATCCAAAAAACCTTGGGAAAATGTAAAATATACATTTCAATATGATAATAATTTTATTACAAAACACGTGACTTATTGAAATAGCAGTCAGTAGAAAAATCTATGATGATATAACTTAAAGACTAACACAGACTATAACATAACAGTAAAGAAGAACTTAAACTATCTTTCCTATCGCATGGGTATCATTTTCATATAAATAGCACATTTTTCTTATTACAATTAATGATCACTCAAACTGTCGTTCTAACTGATTTTATTTAATGGAACTGTAATTACAGAATTACAGTAATATTCTAAAATATCAAAGTAGATGTTCAATATTCTAAAATATCAAGTAGATGTTCAATATTCTAAAATATCAATGTAGATGTTCAATATTCTAAAATATCAAAGTAGATGTTCAATATTCTCAAATATCAAAGTAGATGTTCAATATTCTAAAATATCAAAGTAGATGTTCAATATTCTAAAATATCAAAGTATAAATTCAATATTCTAAAATATCAAAGTAGATGTCCAATATTCTAAAATATCAAAGTAGATGTTCAATATTCTAAAATATCAAAGTATAAGTTCAATATTCTAAAATATCAATGTAGATGTTCAATATTCTAGAATATCAAAGTAGATGTTCAATATTCTCAAATATCAAAGTAGATGTTCAATATTCTAAAATATCAAAGTAGATGTTCAATATTCTAAAATATCAAAGTAGATGTTCAATATTCTAAAATATCAAAGTAGATGTTCAATATTCTAAAATATCAATGTAGATGTTCAATATTCTAAAATAACAAAGTAGATGTTCAATATTCTCAAATATCAAAGTAGATGTTCAATATTCTCAAATATCAAAGTAGATGTTCAATATTCTAAAATATCAAAGTAGATGTTCAATATTCTAAAATATCAAAGTATAAATTCAATATTCTAAAATATCAAAGTAGATGTTCAATATTCTAAAATATCAAAGTAGATGTTCAATATTCTAAAATATCAAAGTATAAGTTCAATATTCTAAAATATCAATGTAGATGTTCAATATTCTAAAATATCAAAGTAGATGTTCAATATTCTCAAATATCAAAGTAGATGTTCAATATTCTAAAATATCAATGTAGATGTTCAATATTCTAAAATATCAAAGTAGATGTTCAATATTCTAAAATATCAAAGTAGATGTTCAATATTCTAAAATATCAAAGTAGATGTTCAATATTCTAAAATATCAAAGTATAAGTTCAATATTCTAAAATATCAAAGTACAAGTTGAATTTTATAAATATCAAATGTTCAATTCTCACTGTTGATAGCACATTCATACATTAGTATAGTATTTAAAAATATTTGACAAGCAGAATTTTTTTTTCATTTAGTCTTTTAAATATCACAGTTAACAACACTGCAGAACACTAAAATTTATTGTCTGATAAAATACACCCAGATTTAACTGATTAACGAAATGCATAGCTCCTTTGACTTAAAAACATTGACAATAAATATTCTTAAAATAAACTGTTTTTCTTCAAGCATTTCTAACTCAAGTTGTAATAACAATCTAATTCCAATCTGAGGGTATCTGAGACACAAAATGATACAAACAATATTTTATATTAAATAAAACTATATACAATTTTATATATTACTTCTATATACAATGAAATTATGAAACTATCATTGATTATTTCAATTTGTAATCATAGTTTATTGTGGATTATAGCATTTCATTTCTGTACACAGCAAGTCTCATTTTTGTATGTCAAAACTTATTTCTGTATACAGCTAGTCTCATTTCTATATGTCAAAACTTATTTCTGTATATGGCTAGTCTCATTTTAATATGTCATAACTTATTTCTGCATACTGCGAGTCTTATTTCAATATGTCATAACATATTTCTGTATGTGTCATGTCCGTTTTCTGTATGCCACACGTTGATTCTTTTTTTTAGACCACAAGTTGGTTGTTTTTGTACGCCTTATTTGTATTTTACATGACACAAATCCTTTCAGCTTACCAAAACTCATTTCTGTGTGCTCATAGTAGTTTTAAACATTTAAAGTTTAAACTTAAAATAAGTTATATACAATATTATAGTACACAGACATATAAAGCACTATACAAGTATATCAAGCATAACAATTTATTTCTGAACTGAAGGCATTTTTAAAGAAAGTAAACTAACAAACACAAAATCTAACTAGCCAAATTGCTATACGTCTAATATATTTTATTTATATATTGTATGCTTTAAGCTAGATAAGTGGAATTTCCAATAAATATTGAGTTTATTAAATTTCATAAAGATTTAGACAACTAATGAAGTAAAAAGTCATAAACAACCTCCTTCTACACATATATGACTCCATTCCAAGACAATACACAGCAGTTTTATACAAACAACTGATTATTATTGTATAAAAATGAATAAAAAAGTTGAATTAAACCTTGATTTCAATATGCAAGACCTTCTGCTTTCATTTCATCCATGAGATAATTCTGCCATTATCAATTGTTTATTTGAACTCTAAATTATATTTCAATGTATATCTGAAATGTCTCACAGTGATCTGACTCAAAATAAACTGAATCCAGTTAGCAAAATATTTGGATATTTGATTCAACATTCTCAGAATGGAGCCAAATATTTGCAATCATAATTAATACTAGTAATTCAATAAAAGACACATACAGAAAATGTATCTATTTTTGGCACTTTCCAATGATCTGTCATGGAAGAAATAAATACTGAAAACTGTATGTGTGGTCCAATTCTTCCAAATTGATCAGAAGTACAATTCAATACATTCACTAAACTAAATAGTTTATAGCACCTTGTTTGAGTCACTGTGACTCGTCTATAGTTTGTGACTCATATTTTGCATTCGTTATGACCTTGAGAATGAAGATCAAGGTCATGATGACAATGCTGATGGTGATTCTGGCTCTTTAAGGTAATCACGAACAATATCATGACAAAACTTGTACTGTTCCTAAAATTACAAAATAATTTACTTTATGCAAAGATCAAAATTGAACAAACAAATCTATAGAAAATGTTGAAAATAAGAGATGGATAAGAATTAAGTTCTTAGGAAAGTAAAATATAAATAACCAAGACCTTTTTTTTCAATTACAAGCTTTTGCTATGAAACGCCTTTCTGTACAGAGATCTTGAGGCCATCCAGCAACTTCCAAATCTATTAGGAAACAAAAAGACTTACCATGTTATCTATAAATTGTGACCTATTTAACCTAAGTTGTTTCACTGCCTGGAAGACATCTACTTCTTTTTCTATATTTAATCTTTCTAATATACAACTAACAGCACAAAATAAACCACTTCTACTGGCACCATTCCTAAAAATTGAGAAAAATCATTGATCCTGACTTCATAAATACATGATGGAAAACTGGAGTCAGTTACACCATCAGTAAAAAATGATTCTATGCTAAATTGATATCATATTAGAAAAACTTCTGGTCACTGTCACAGATGTAAGTGTTGCCTTTGCTAAAGTCAAACAAGTTAGATTGGTTACTATCTATTCATTGTACCAAGGCTTTGTAAGCAGAATAAGAATCACAAATGCGAAGCCTGTTTCATTCCTACTCTTACTTACATGCAATGGACGGTAACTGGTCTGTTGTCAGTTTGAGTCTGCCATCTTTCAACAGTGTCTAATAACTCCAGTAATGCCATTTTGGAACTTGGTACAGCACTACCTTCAGGCCAATGATGGAAGTGAAATTGTCGAATAACTCGAGGTGGTTCATCAGGCTTTGAAACAAAATGCAGAGGAATTAAAAGTCAATATCAAAGAATTGTTATCTGAGCCTTCATTTTCATCAAAAGTAGAAATTGACCTTCCCGAAGCATCAAAACCAATATATGAAACTAATCTTATGCCTTAAGATCAAAAGCACATTTAGTTATTTAATTGAGCAAGCTAATCCATGTAATATTTTGGCCTTCAGTCACTTAATGCAATATCAAACGGGTATGTTTGATAAACAACATTCTGACAAAACAATTGTCGTTAAGACTTACAGTTAAGTGTTTGTTTTCAGATAGATCCTGACCATATAATATGGCTTTGTTAATTTCTTCTAATCTCTAATGCCCCATAATAGTCACAAGAATCATTTCAGATTAATTTTGAATATTCTCAAAAATATACATAGGCTATATGCTTACCAGTAATGTATTTGTTATGGTGAAATCTCTAACTGTGACACTAGGATCTGATTTAATCTCAGCTGTGGTTTCAACAATAAATGGACCATAATTAATACCACAAGGGTCTAAACTCCAATATACCTCACATGTCTAAAACAAATATACATCATCATGAGCTTTCTTAGAAATAAGAGTAAACAATCTATCTTCAGAAGCAATTTGCTAAATATACAAATCAATATATTAAAGGCAGTGCAGGATCACAAATCTGTCACATGGATGGAAGCTAAATTGAACACAGCTTTATAAAGGTGAAGGTTGATTTTCAAACTGTTAGTTAAGGTCAAACTTTGAATTGTAACTCTATGTGCCAGTGCAACTCTATCTATGATTACCATATTACTAGTTAATAAAGGAAGTCAAACAGTTTACCTCATCATTGAGATCCAGTTCATTTAACATAACAATACAAGATGAATTATGATCATAAACCAGTCTCCAGAAATCTACCACTGTATTTGGTAGTGACATCTGGGTAACAATAAAAGCATCTTTAATGTGGTAACTCTGAAAGTATAATTAGTAGAATACTGCAGAAATCGATTCTTCCATAATCTCTAAGCTTCCCAGTAAGAAGTAGAAGGAAGACAATTTTGATATTTTTCAAACAAACTTTTGCTTAAACACCGTAAAAACATGTAATAGGGTCAAATATAATGACAACTTACATTTACAAAAACAGCATTAACATAATCATTGCCTTCTTCCCAAGGTGTGGTTAAATATGGCCGACAACGGTTAGCTGAAAGATAAATCATATGAAATGAAATAAAAAAACATACTTTTTGATCCTTTAAAGGGATTGTATAGAGGATTTCTTAATTTATTATGCTTATCAGGGACACTGATAGCATCAATTTCCACCATTCCAATTTTCAATCAGACATCTGTGGTTCCTGCAATTCCACTAAATCTAAGTGTATTACAAAAGACTTTTGTGGGGGTGACTTCATAAAACACTTAGTTTTAGTATAATAAGAATTGCTAGAACCACAGACTTCTGATTGAAAAATGGAATGCACAAATTGATTCTATCATTGTCCCCGATACATTCAAAATTTAGAAAACCTCTTTACAATCCCTTTAAGCATTTATTTGCACATGCACATGAGCTTGAACAAGTAACCTCATTGGAATAGATTTTTTTCAGTTTAGATAGTTCAAAAAGATTAGGCCTACATTCTATTTCAGACTTAATCATGCCTTACTATTTTACCTTCACCTTTACCCCGTTTAGTAAAACATCTACATTGCTTACCAGGCAGAATATTTTTACATCTATTCTTAAAGATATTTTCTGCTCTCAATGCTGATGTGGATTCGTCCCTTTCAATTGTGGTTGTTAATAATTTCAAGATCTAAAACATATATACAGTTAAATTAGCTAAATTTGTTATGAGGTTCTGATAGCAATACATAAAAAATGCTTACAAAGACATAAATGTGAAGCAATTACCAATGGATTTTCATTAGCTATTCATTTTTATGAACAAAACTTGCAATCAAATAAAAGTTATTGCCCTCTTTTGAGTATTCTTAGATATTGATAACCTTATATGCACTTACTGAGCAGTTTAAATAAGTATTCATAATGATAATCATAAATCAACTTTAGAGAAAGTTCCTATGCCAATGATAGTTTAAATACCTCAAATTGTTCATCCAACTTGGATTTGCCAATATTCTGATCATATTGTACAATATCTCTGTATACATGTTGATAGTTTACTATGGGTATTGTTGTTTCTCCACAAATTAAAGCTTCTAATAAACAATCATATACAAATATATATTGTTCCTGTAAATAGAAATATTGAAATATTAAAACAGAACCTGAAATATGTTATTTTATATTTCAATACCGCTCTACAATTTATGTATTGAGCTGTATTTCAAGAGTGAAAATAATTGTTCCAGAAGATGTACAAATATATATTGTTCCTGTAAAAATGCAAAGATATATTGTTCTAACACATATTACATAACATTGTTCCTTTTAATATGCATAAAATAAACTCCAGTAAATACAACAATATGTGGTTATCAAAGTAATTATTAATCTATTAGAATGTATGAACTCCTGATACCATATGTCACTTAATGATTTCACAAAGTCTAGTTTTAACTATTGAATTTCTCACATTTGTCTTCTTTGCTTTTGATTTTTTATTGCAGTATAACTATAACATTTAGTAATATTGTTGGATAAGGTCAAAGAATTAACAGATAATTATCAAATTGAATACTATTCAGGCATATAACAGTAACACGGAAATTATTCATTAACTTTTTTATTTCATTATACAGAAATTATTTCATAAAAAAATCCTAATTCTATTGTCACAAAATCAATACTTTAGCTATTTTCAGGCTTGAGTGATAAAAGCAATTTTCTAAAAGCAAATATTGGAGGTTGAGTTTGAGGCATTGCCTTTTGATCATTTTAATCAGAAGGGATGAAATGGCAATGTTTAATGGTATTGTTTATAGATTGTATGATACTAACTCATTTATAAAATCTGACAGTTTAAAACTGGATTGCTCTACCCAGAATTTGTCTTTAGAAATATCCCAGGTGAATTCTTTAATAAAACTTTATCATTTTTAGTGAGGATAAATTTTATCTATAAATTACTCAATCCAACATTAGTACGTTAAAACAGAGTTCACAAGTATTGTCCACAGCAGTTTAACCAGCCAGATTTGATCCAAAACCCTGTGAGTGGACAAAAGTGGTAACAATTATTTAAAGCAACACTTTCTGTGAATTTTACACAATAATTTCCAAGTTATAATTGTTATATTATACCATGAAATTACATCAGATAGTATAAAGATAATTATATCAATTTGCAGACTGGAATAATAATGGAAATCCATAGTAAAATTACATTCAGATACTAAGATAGATTGCCAGGCAAGGTAATTTATGCTCATTGACTTCAATAGAAATATTTGGCAGCACAGTAACAGTCACCAGTATGAAATATTCAACCTTCAGTCATACACTTCTTTTGAACATTTTGGGGTGATGCTGAACAAAATTACTAAGTTTTGTTAAATCTGGCAAGAATAGAGCCTTTTTACTAGTTAAATATTGAATGCTTTTCAAGAACAAGGTCAAGTCATACTTGGTCATAAATATTTTTTTTATTTTTTCTGATTTTCAATAAGGTTCATCCTTGGGTTAATACAAATACCCACACAAAGTTTTGTCAAAATCTGTTTTTCAATAGGGTTCATCCTTGTGTGATATCAAACACTCACACCTAGTTTTGTCAAGCCAAATCCCAATCTTGCAAAACCTATTTATATATGATTTATAATTTAGTTAAGTCACTTATAATACTGCATAGGAATTTGAATAATCAATTCAATTACAGGTAAGTATATGAATATCTTCATACTTTTTTACTCAAAACTTAAACAATTTGAAAAATTGAAAGATCATAATTGTTGTTAAGATCAGAATAGTTGAAGTCTCCAAGAAATGATTTGGCTCAGGTCTTGATAAATGATCAAACTCATTCTCAAAATGTTTTTTTTACTATTTTATAAATTATCACTGCAGATTTATAAAAGAGGAGTTAAGGCGACAAGAGCAGAATAATCATTGTCTTAAATTCAATGATTTTAATGTCAATTCATTAATTATCAAATCTCACCACACTGGTATTTTATCACAGGACTGTCAAGAATCACAGTAATGTGTCAACTTGTTAAGATTAATTAACAAATCAATTTAATGGAGTGTTCACAAAACTGACAACTTCACAAAGAACTTCTATTTTTTCTGCTGGAATTTGAAGTTCATCAGGGTTAAAAGCTCCACAATCTGACTGAATAATTCGACTCTTGCATGCTTTCAAACTTTTCTTCAGACAATTCTGTTTTTTATCATTTCTACTATTGTGAATACCAGTGAGATTGCAGAGTTCAACCAGGCTAAAAGCTTTATAGCCAGATGAATTTTATCATTCAATTCAAAGTATCTGCAAGATGTATCTAGATATAATGAGAGTAAAGATTTCATGGTGCATTGAATTCTATGAGATATATTTTTTTTCTTTTCCCATGAGAATCCTTGAATTTCATCCACCAGTCAGCCAATAGAATGTTTGAATGTCATCTACTAGTCACAGAATTGGAACTTCCTGGAGGCTTAGGAAATTTCAAGACCAGTGTAATAAATCTATAAATGACCTTGCTGTTCATTGCATTCTGGATAAGATGTCATTTTATGTTATTTTGTTGCAGTATGCTGTGATAGTTTTTGAAGTTTGTGTAATTTTATAAAAAAATCTTAATTAAAATCACTAATACGAACCGCAAAATATGTCATTTCACAGCAGTTTTTACCTTCCTGTGTTTAAGATATCAACCTATCCATGTTTAAAATGATAACCTACCACTGTTATCAACCAACCAGTGTTAAAAACATCAGTCTACCCATGTTTAAAATGATAACCCACCATTGTTTAAAATATCAACCTACCCATGTTTAACATGATAACCGACCACTGTTTAAAATATCAACCTACCCATGTTTAACATGATAACTGACCACTGTTTAAAATATCAACCTACCCATGTTTAACATGATAACTGACCACTGTTTAAAATATCAACCTACCCATGCTTAAAATGATAACCCACAATTACTTAAAATATCAACCTACCTATTTCTAAAATGATAACCTACCAATGTTTAAAATATCAACCTACCATTGTTTAAAATATCAACCTACCCATGTTTAACATGATAACTGACCACTGTTTAAAATATCAACCTACCCATGCTTAAAATGATAACCCACAATTACTTAAAATATCAACCTACCTATTTCCAAAATGATAACCTACCATTGTTTAAAATATCAACCTACCATTGTTTAAATCAAAGCATACCAGTTCTTAATGTTTAAAATGATAACCTACCAATGTTTAAAATTATAATCTACCAATGTTTAAAATAATAACCTACCATTGTTTAAATTATAACCTACCAATGTTTAAAATAATAACTCACCAGTGTTTAAAATGATAACCTACCAGTTTTTAAAATGATGACCTACCTGTGCTTAAATCAAAACCTACCAGTGTTTAATGTTTAAAATGATAACATACCAGTGTTTGCACCATATTCACTCTCTGTGTTCTCATCAGCTGAACAAAATTATGTACATCTATAATACCCTCTAATTTAGCTCTTTCTAATTGACTGTCAACTGAGATATAAGTACCAGTTCTACCAACACCAGCACTAAAAAGAAATTCATCATTTCAATTTAAAATATCAGGCAAGTTGCCATAGAAATATTCATTGGTTCGGAACCACTTTGATTGTCCATGATTATTTGACCAAAATGGCATCTCCAGCAAGTTATTGAATCACACGTGCTAATATTATTTTCTTAATATGAATAATCAGACTGATAAAGTGTTGTAAAATAAATATTAACAAGCGTTTTATGTAAATTACACACAAATTTTCAATTCCCTCAGCTTGAATAAAATTTCATAGTTGAAAATCGGGATAATTTTCTTCCGAGACAAAAATAATTAACAAACATTTTCCAGTCAAAGTTTGACAACTGACTTGATAATTACAGTCATATTTCAAACATGGCTGACAAGATCCCAGATAGTGTTACACAAGACATTCATTTCTGATGTCAAAGAATTCAAATCACCATAGAAATGAGAAAATTTAGGCAAATTCATGTTAGAAATAATGATATCTGAAATTGGTGAATTTAGTTTCATCTCATGCTGTTTAATAACAAAGCACTGGAAATTAATTTGACTTTTAAATAAATTAGACAGTAAATGGAGATAATAAATTCCTTGCCAATATCAGCATTTAAAGACAAAGAATCATAGAAAAGCTTTTATTAAGGGCAATGTGAAGTCTAGTTTTTATGATGCCAAATTTGTTATTTGTGACATGTTCAAACACAAATAACATTACTTTCAAGCATTTGTGGATGTGATTACATTATGAAGCATACTTTTCAGTGAATTTTGTGGTCTAAAAGAAATCTATTTGTAAGCTGAAATTGCTGAATGGTTTTTTTTTCCCGAGTATTGGTAACTTTTCAATTCATGATTTTAAAAGAGTGATTGCTTAGAGCAGAGTTGTCTTTAATAAGCATGTCTGACAGTTTCAAATAAAGAATCAAATAAGAAGAAAAAATGTTTTTTTTTTTAAATTTAGAAAACACTAATCTACATTGAACTTTTCTAAAGATATATTTATATGACAAAGCTGTCAAAAATAGATTGTTTCAAAAAGGTTAGAATCCTCTTTATAAATATCTTTATACCATTTGGACAATTTTACATTTTGCAAATGTTTATTAAATTATAAATCATGACTGAAACCACTGAATGACATGAAATTTTTCATTTAACTGCCCTGTTGACCACTTTTAGTTATAAATCAATATTATTGACATTGACATTCAACAGTTATTATGGCACTAGGGGGGTTGTTCAATAACACATCTATTATAGTTAATTATACCCCAACATTCTTTGTCCCATAAATATTTGTCCAATTTCTATCAAATATAATTTCCCTGACTTGCTGTCATTAATGATGACATCTGGCCACAATCATTCACTTTTGTGATTGTCAATTTTGCCCTAATTTTTTCATGGACATGAATAACAACAAGCTTTTTTTAAGGGATAGTAAAGAGGTTTTCTACAGTTTACAGTGCATCAATTTGCACCATTCAAATTTTCAGTCAGATTTCTTGAAATTATACTCAAACTTAGCATTTAATGAATAGCTATCGTAAGCTATTAGCAGCTCCTGTCATTTATGGACAAAAGTATGCTTTAATAATTTATAGAGTTAAAAAATCATCAAAACATATCATTTTTCAAACATTAATGTATCATTTTTGTCATGATAGTTTCATGAATATTTATGAAAAAGGAAACATGATATCATGAAACAATAGTATCCAGGAATCTAAATTACAACAGGATTTGAAAGAATTTTATCAAGGGATAACAATTTAATGAGAATGCCATATGAGCAAAACACAAAATTATAATCAATTATGCTTGTATTGTTTTCACGTTATGATAACTTTATGAATATTAATGCAGAGGCATTATTATAACATAATAAAATAGAATCTGTCTTAATAAATTACATGTTCATTACAACATTGATATCCTTTGAAAAAGGGTGAAATCAATCTTCTTAGTTCTTTCTACACACAAAAGGGTTCTCAGCCTCATTTATCAAATAACAAAACACAATTTCTTTGTATACCACTACTCTTGAGTTTTCTTGTACACTGTTACAGGCCTAATGGTGGTCATGTAAATTGTCAAAAGTAAACTTCCAGATATTATCCAGGTTATTGTCTCAATAATGACTTAATTTGTAAGCAATTATGTAATATAAAACAACGCTGTTGTACATTGTATTTGATGAAATTGTATTGTATATGACCTATTGAAAACAAAAAAGAATTTAAAAATTTAAAGTCACATTTCACGTTATGCAGTCAAAACACCTTGCTAGATATAGAATTATTAACACATACCTGCAGTGAACAACAACTGGACCATTATCAAGTTTATCAAATCCTCTAATCTTCTGACGGAATAGCAACAAAGAATTGCCAAATTTAGGTACACCATGATCTGGCCATGTTGTATAATGAAATTGTTTCACATATTTTGATTGGTCTCCCTGAAAGGAAAATAAAAGTATATATGCAGGTGAGCTATTTAAGATCTAAGTGGTTTTCATAACCCTTTTCTTGATTCTTGATTGATTGTGCTACCCCTCTTTCCTTCTATAAATCCTCAATATTTTAGAGAAGGTCGCGGCACTATTCATGGCAATCAAAATGTACAATGAGATGTTTCAAAGCAATTTCTTCAAATCGCACGACCATTTGCTTTAACAATACTATACAAATTGTAATTATGGTATTTAACTTGAGATACCAGTTGTAAAAAGGCAGACAAAAATACTTTGACTGTGGTTGACATGTCAGAAGCCATTTTCTAACTTAAATTCACCAATTTACTGTTCAAAACCATTACAAAAAACATTTCTCAATAGGAAACTAATGAGTGGTCTCCTTATAAACTTAAATGATTTTTTACCAAGCAATAACTTTTTTGAATTACAAGATTTCCTTAAAAACATGTAATAGACGACGGCCAAATAATTTATTTAACTGACACTGTAGGGGAATTAGAAGTGCTGGTGATTAGATGGCTATTGATGTGAAGGTCAACTCCTAGTGGATGATTTCAATAAATTGTTTGCTATTTTCTCTCTGTAGTAAAAGCACTCACTTTATTTTGATTAACTGACTTTGAAACAATTTAAGGCTTTCACTAGAAATCCTCTTATTCTTACTACCGTACTTTTCCCATAAAACAGCATGATAGATAGTAAAACAAGGAACACTCCACTTTATTAATGACAAGAAAAATAACCATATCCACATGAGTTATTGATTTTTGGTTAACCCCTGAGAAGTAGTATTTTACAAGATAAAAACATGCATACAAATTGCTTTAGATAGTTCCTACCGAATTTGGCATATCAAAAAATAGTGCCGGTTAAAGTGACCAATTTTTAAAAGTGAAGAAAGTATCTATAACCTATGATCAGTAATAATAAATAGATGCCTTCTTTATCTCAGAAAAGTAATCTAAGCACATGTATTTGATAAGTTTCTCAGAACACATTAAGGAAAAGCACGATTCAAAATGATTCTTTTATTTGAAGTCTCATCAGAAATATATTTAGACTTTACCGTTAGAATACAGCAACTTATAATGAACTCAAATTAGATAAATAAGGCATATCAATGAGCCTTGGCTGAAATAAGTTCCATTATCTGTGGTTATGTGGTCACAATCAGAATCTTCTAAAGATGATAGTATTGTACTATTGTACCTCGATATTATCTTAATCATGTATATCAATATCTTCTCAAGAAGAAAAAAATTCATCAAAGAAAAAAAATACATCCATTTAACTTTTTCTGACACGAATAAAAAAAGATGTGATATAAATGTCTTTAAATCTCCTTTTATTTTATTTATCCTAACAAACCAGAAAGTAACAAGCTAAATAAAACCTACTCATAAATCACACCATTTTCAATTAACGAATAAAAATGTAATTCAAAGAGATTATTTACATAGTCAGCTTATTTGATCTTGAAATCCAATAACGCAATTTGAAGAGTTGAGCCAAATTTAATCCTTCATTAATTTCACTTTAAGCTGAGAAAAATTGGTTTGGCGTGAAAACCAATAAAAGCCAATAAGTAGTGACTGTTACTCATGAGACAGTTTGGAATCCTGCAAGCAGAAGATATTTATCTTGCCAATTTTCTTTCCATGTTAATAATAGAAATCGGGACTTAAGTGAATTGTATCAATCACGACACCCTCAAATAATGATGGTCAGTGATTTACACTAAAAAATATTACAGTTGACGGTAAAAAGATCTTATAGTAAAACAAGCTCTTACCATGGATAGTAAGAAGATTTTTATAGAAATAAATAGTAAAATGTAGAATGAACAGGGGCTATTACAATGGAAAATAAAAAGGTTTTCCTAGTAAAATAATAACTTACCATGGATAATAAAAAGGTTCAAAACAGAATAAAAAGGTTCTTATAGTAAAAAAATAAATTATCATAACAAAAAGGCTCTAATAATGAAAAAGAAACTTGCCTTGGATAATAAAAAAAGTTCAAATAGAAAAAGACTTACCATGGATAGCAATAAGGTCCTGAAGATAATAAAAAGGTTCTACTAGTAAAATAAAAACTTACCGTGGTTAATAAAAGGGTCTAATAGTAAAATAAAAACTTACCGTAGATAGTAAAAAGGTTCTAATAGTAAAATCAGGTAAACAATCTGTATTTAATATCTGTACTGTATAATTACCATAATCTTCACTGCCATGATCAGGCCAATATTGTTCACATTTTTTCTGAAAAAAATTCAAAATACAAGATACAAGAACAAGGTTTGAAAATATTGTTTTAATTTACTTTCTTTTCAACGAAAATTAGCCTCATTTTGATAGAGTATTGAGTCAAGAAATTGAAGTGAACACAGTTTTCTGGAAACTAATAAAGAAATATTATCTAAGCATTCAGGAGGTATGGTCAGAAAAATGATGTAAAAAAAAAGGAAGAAAATATTTCTGTGAAGATGTTTTTTGACACACAGGCCCTAAATTTGGGAAATAAGATAAGATAAATCTTTAATACCCATGTGATTTGGACATACGAAACATCAAACAAACAATATACAATACAATACAATTGAGACTAGAAGAAATATCACAGATTGATTTGGCGTTTGTTTAATAAATTAATAGAATACGGAATAAAGGAATTTTTTGCCCTATTTGTACTGAAGTTAGGTACTAGATACCGTCTTCCTGAACGTGGTAAATTGAATTCTGAGTTTAGAAAATGGTTTGGATCGTCAACTATATTTTCAGAGAGCTTAAGAACAGATTCAACGTTTCAAATGTTGAGTGAGGCACACTTTACACCAATGATTTTACTTGAGATATTTGCTATTCGGTTAAGTTTTGCTGTATTCTGTACTGAAAGAAAAGCATTCCAACATATCAAGTTACTAACCTTTCCTGATTCAGTTGAATTTGTCAACATTATAATAGTTTTAGAGTTAAGTTGCCACATCATTCTCCATATATCATCTATAGTTGGTTTATTGGGGCCTGAAAGAGCACAATAGATGGCTTTTTAGGAAATGGAATAGCAACATGATACAGTTTAGTATGTGGTTCTATACTGGTTTCAATGAACACATTGTAAGGAATTGAATATAAGTCTTTATGGATAACAATCAATTTATTTCTTAAACACAACATTTCAACTCATCTAACAGTATATCAAACATCACTATAGAGATGCCACAGCAACCTTAATGAATATATTGTACACTTGATAACCACAAGTGGAATTTTGTTGAAATGTTGTGTTTAAGAAATAAAGTGATTGTTATCCATAAAGACTTATATTTCAATTTTGTGCCAATCACTAAATGCCTATCAAACAGTACATTGTAAGGAATTACAATATGTAATATAAGCACATACAGGTACAAAAAGCAAAGTTGGCAAACTTGAATTTTTACAATCAGATGAACATCTTTGGGTAGGTATTTGAAACACCTTAATCAAAATTTTATCATCAAAAAAATTGTTCTTCAACCCACAACTACACATATACCATATACCATTCATTTAATGATTTAGTTAAAGCTTTTACCTTGAGCAGCAATATAAGCTCTTGGTTTATTGTATCCCTGTAAAAATAATGAAATGTATTGGGAATTATTTCAGCAGGAACATACAATCCTTCTTGCTGTGAACAAAAGGCAAATGAGTTCAATTTTTTTGCTTCACTTTAATGAATAAAAATGTGCAACACTATGCCTTCTCTATGCGGTCACTGTTTATTTTCTCACCAAAATGATTTCTCACATAAAAGTAAAAAGTGTGCATAAATTGCTGAATCTCATCAAAATAAAAAACACCATGATAATATTAACTTACATCAATATAATTTGCATTGATATAGTCATCTGTAGGATCACCATTTTCTGATTCTAATATAACACGAGTATGGTCATCTAAAATAATAAAAATTCATTTTAATCTCACAGTAAGTAAATTGTACATTGTAATTATCTCATTGCAAATTAACCTTTAATACATAATAACTCTTACTTATCCACTATCAATCATGTCTATATTTTACAAACATTATAGATAAACAATAGATATATAGGTACAAATTATTTTCAGCATAAAATTTGTACAAGCAAGACAATTATTTAATCAAAATATTGCCCAAAGAATGGCAAAATCGAGAGTTGTATAGTATACTCCATCAGGTATGCTTCGCATGCGACACCCACCATTACTATATAGGTCAACTTCATGAGATACATCCTCTCTACCAACTTAACAATAATCTTCAATGTATTAAAGATGACTTGACTTATTCAAGGTCAGAGGAGTATCGCACACCTTTCAAAATTAGATTAAACTTAGATTCCACAACAAATATTTCCCTTGAGATTGAAATTCTTATATTAATCAAGAAGAAAGAAAAGACCATCCCAAATCACTTCAAAACAAATATGGTATCAGACAGGATTTTCAGAACATAAACTAGAAATTTAAATTGACAAGACACATGAAATAAATTCTTTCAAGAAATTGCTCTTTGAAAATGACATTTCCTTACCATTTCAAGTGTCATTTTACACAAATTTATATTTCCCTACATGCTATTTAATCATTTTTTCTATAAAATATACTAGGATGGTTTCTAGATGATTAAATTTCATGTCAATCTCTAGACATCTTTATTATCCTTTAGGAAATTCAAAATGTATTCATGAAGAAAAATACTCTCAATGTTATTTCATAGTTAGACTGCCTGATTTATTCTAAATCTTTGAGGTTTACTACCTAAAGGCTTAAATCAATATAAAGATAAATAGTAAGTAGACTTTATTCCGACACATTTAATAGTCATTTAGCAGAAGAGATTCAATTTGTTTCTTTTCCTAAAACAATAACATACTTGTTAGAATCATTTTATGTGGTAAAATTTTACTATAAAAAGTGAAAACTGGCACAAAAATGTATATCTGATTAAAATTTAGACATAGACATGTCTTTTTGTGTTTTGGGTGTGTGCAACCTCACCTGCCATCATTTTTCTATCAAATTACATTTGTAAATTTAAACATGTTCTAGGTCATTAAATATTTGACAAGTATGTGATGCAAGGAATTTCACTTTCTTTGGCCTGTTTTTGTTTCATACAGATCTACGAATCAGACAACTTACATGCTATAATGTTCCCATATCTATTTTTGGGTTTATTTTCATTTCTTTTAGCAACTTCACAACTAGCTATCAAACCAGCTGGTATCAACTGAAAAGATATTGGTAAATATATAAGTGTCATTTCATTAGTCTGTAATCTCCCGATAGGAAAACATTAATAATAGTCTGAAATTGTGATAATAAGTGATATAATTTAAACAGAATATCACATTTGTGTTCTGAAAAGTGATACCCAAAGCTGAAATTGAGCTGCCAGTAAATTATTAAAGACTTTTTGATTTTTATATCTGTAAGTGTTAAATTTATGTGAATTTTTTTTGATTAAATGGATTTCTGAGACAAGAAAAGGACAGTATATATTTAACAAACAGATTTTTAACAAAAAGATATACCTTATATTCACGTTTAAATCCCCCATAATCATGATCTTTAGAATTTTTAATATAATCCCATAAATCTTCTACTCTGATTGGAGGAACATTAGTTCCCACATTACTATATATTGGTTCACATTCAATATCATTCAATGAAGATGGTATTATCAACGGTTCTGCTTCTATATTAGCTGAAATAAATGATATTTGGTTCAAGTTAGGAATATGTTCCATGAAAACAATTTCTTAGTAAATATATTGTCAGAAAGTAAAGGATAACACAAGCTTACCTATTTCTGCAAAGCCTTTAGAAAGCATAAAAAAGAATTGATATAGATTTAATAGATATAATATATCAACACATCTCATACCATAATACTTATACAGCACTATTTTAACAGTGAAGATATTTTATTATTGTAATGTAGTTAATGCAATATTACACCCTTCAGGTTGATAAATCCCATCATGTCAACAACCTCACCAAATGTCATGAATTGTATAAAATCAAACTTGGCACTTTCGGCCTTTTACTGAAGTGGACAGAAAGAACATTGTCAACCATCCATTCTAGCCTTTGACAGAAGATGACCTAGGTTGATAAGCTCAAAACTGATGACTTACTCATTGGTGTCAATGGAGGACTTGAATCTGGTTCTGGCATAATTGTTGGACCAAAGTTGGGCAAATCAGATTTTTCCCTTTCCACTGATGACTGTCTTTTTCTATATTAAAAAAAGAACATATATGTACAAAGTATAAAAATTAGTTGAATACAACTGTATAAAACATTACAACTAATTAATGACATGTTTCAGGATAGTTTTGTTCTGTTAAGGTTACACATTTTATATAGCATTGATAATTCAACAATTGGGCCCTATCTCAAATAATCTGATCATGTTTCAATTCAAATAAAATATAATACATCAGAAATCTGGCTAAAGACTAATTATGAATACATGACATAACTATCTATCTTACCTCCATATGACTAGAATAATGGCAAACAATATGATGAGCAGAATAAAGACCACTAGGACACCAATAATAACTGGTATATGATTACTAGATTCTTCTACTGGTATGGCTCGTACTGAAAGAAAAAGAGAAAACTGGGCTTTTATTCTCCAAGAACTTAGCAACAGTGTCCCCTAAATGCCAAACAAAGAGCACCAACAAACCACTAAATAAAGGTACATCTAGATGTTTATTCATAGTTACAATATTGAGTTCCAGATCAATTGTCTACTTACCAACAACAGGTCCATCTGTTCTGGAAAATGATTGTCTTAAAGTCTGAAACAGAAAAAAACATCATAAATTGTAATGAATGCAACATTCAAAGGAATTTCATTTACTGTGCAAAATATAAAATTGTACCATTATTAACAAGAGCCAGTTTGCTAAATTCACTTAGATTTAAAACTCTTACCCCATCAATTTTTGAATAAGCACCAAACCATATATTATATGATTTATCAGTTTTTAAAGGGGCATTGTAAAATCCACCATATGTTTTATTATCACCAACTACAAAAGGGCCACTGGCAGTGTTTTCATCAAGTTGGGCAGCAATATAAGCTCTGGATCCATCTCTTTCAGCACTCTTAACATCACTAGCTGCTAGTTTGACATGAACTGGTGTATCTCTTTTTCTTCTGACAGTCACATTTTCAACTATTATACGGTAGAAACTGAAAAGTTATTTTATCACAAGGTTACAATCTTTGGGTAGTTATATAGCACAGACCAGCGTATCTTAGTAAATAACAAATGAATAAATGAACAGATGAAAATATATGTACCTGATTGTAGAATCACCCAGAGTTTTTAAATCTATAGTCACAGTTCGATCTGATGTTCCAACTACTTTAGGTGTTGATGGTACAGCTGGATCTTTAAAACAAGAGCAAAAATTTATATTACAATAACATGGCATAGTTTAAATGTGACAATAAGACAATACACACAGATTTGTTCTAGTCTTCCACAGGTTAGTTTACGTAATCTGCTGAGAGTAGTAAATGTTTATTTGATGATAAAAACAAGCAACACAATAATTCAAGCAACTAACCTTCAGCCTCTGTCCATGTCAGCAAACTTGATTGGGCACCAGAACCTTTTCTACTACTAGCATTAACACTACAAGCATACTGAGTTGCTGGGTATAATCCTTTCATGGTATATTGTAATGTTGATGGTTCTAGCTGTATTTCACGATGGTCATCAACATCAGCTAGTTGTAGAGATCTCAGTGCTTTACATGTTAACTGAAATAACAACAGACACATACTTGGTGAATATCAAGGAAATAACTTGTGGTCAGTTATTTTTACATCTTAAAAGTCCTTGTTCTCAAACTGGGGTACTATTATCACTGGAGGTAATATCATGCACCATTTGTGGTTTGTTCAGGCAAAGGGGTATCATTTTATAGCATGAACTATTTAGAGTTAAAACAAAAAGCCTAAATAATTTAGGGTTACTCCAAAAGGTTGGGAATCAAGAGGCTCAGTTTTGTTGGATCCCATTCATTAAGAATGATATTTTTATTCATTTTTTACTTACAGTATAGTACAATATCTGACCATGATAATCAAATGGTTTATCCCAAGCTAGCTGTATAAATTTCAATGATCTGGAGATATTTCTAAAATTTGGTACAGGTCCTGGTACTATAAAAAAGATAAATTTATGTTCATATCATTGGATAAAACCCAAACATATATTCAAAAGGAAAGTTTATAATCATGGTATTTCAACACATAATTTTGGGTTCAATGTTTTAGACACTGTTTTGAAAGACTACTGGCATAACCCTGAACTACCACTTAAACACATATGTATGTGCTCATTATATGACAAGGATTTGATTTCCCATTTCATGCTGTCAGAATTAGAAAAATCCTACCTCCTTCATCTGTACTAGCCGTTAAAACAGGACTAGGTTGACCAGTGCCAGCATTGTTAGAAGCTTGAACCTGAAATACACATTTATGAACTAAATATAAAATTGTCATAATACGTACATTCATATTCATATTATGTATGATTTGGTTTAGTAAGTGCAAGTGGCGTTGTAAAGACTGTTTGGTCAATACTTGAGAATACCAGATGCTTTCTCACAATTATAACTGCAATAATAGTAGTCAAAGGAGTTTTGTTGTAGGCCTAACTTGTTACCTTGTTCATTTCGATTGAGTGATAATATACTGAATTTTTTATAAAACAGCAGGAAATGAGGAATATATAATGATAGAATCATGCACATATTAAGATATACTTTAAACTGAACATAAAAATCCAAGAATCATTACTTTTTCATGTCAAATAGGTTTCATGATGAACTACAGCATGTTCACTATCAATTAGTCCTGCCAAGTAACACTGCTCAGGCAAATTTGATTGCGTGCAATTCAATCATTGTTGACTGTTTTTTTTATTCCATTTCCAGCAGTCAGCTCATAAAATTCTCATTCTATAAATCTAACATGTTTGAATAACGAAGTAGAATTAGGACAATTTATTGAGCTGTGCCTGACTCAATTAATTCTATTGGTTGAAACAATTTGTTTTTTTATACAGACAAAGACTATTAAAAACATTACATTCAATGTCAGTCAGTTATAAAAATATCAAAAACGAAAATAAAAATTAAATTTGTATTAACAAGACTAGAACAACATATGTGTGTTATGATGGAAATTAATAGAATAAGCTTCTTTTTTAAAGTCTGCCTAAAATGCAGTCAAATCCGATTCCACATAGCCAAAGGTCAGCAAAAGAATACTTTTATAAGGTTAAATGCAAAAGCTATAACATTTTCACAATATGACAATGAACTTCGGTACTAAATGTGATTGTAAGCAATGCAATATAAGCCATGAAATTATCAAAGAAACAGCAATACTGGACAGTATTATTTTTGGGATTTCAGTTAACTTCAAATATTATTAACCACATCACAGGGTAGTTACAATGAACTGAAAGCAAGTCCTGTAACAAAAGATATGTGCACACATTTAAACTATAAAATAATGAATTGGTTATTTAAACCTCCCAAAGAGACCAAAATGTTGACAAAATTAATTTCGTGATAGCCTTTGTTTGAAAAGAATATTTATTAAGAAAATGTCTCTGTGTGTAAAATGAGATGGTGACTTTGTAGTCACTTGTCTCAGCATTAATCAAACATTTTGGAATTAGAAGTTGGATGTTTTGGATTATGAATTATTTAATAAAGTATGCTTTTCTATCAGATTGCAATCTTTTAAAGTGGTACATATATATATATATATATAAGATTGTCACAATTAGGACTTTCCGATTGGTAATTTTTATTGAGTACAAGAAAAATTTCGGGAAATGTGACATGACAGTCAAGAGCCAAATACAACCAAATATTCAGTATTAAACTGACTGAACTGTGAAACTAATGAATTCCCACTGACTATTTCATTAACTCACTCATTATACTAAAAAAATTCAAAACTCTTTCTTTGATGTTATTTCCAATTTCCTCTTTGGTGCCATGAAATTTACTGGCATTATATTGAAATTATTGGAAATTATAAAAGTTCTATCCAGTGCAATACAATTCAGATTATATCTCATATTCATTTGGATATTTGCTCAGGAATTCTTTCACATAATGAAAAAGAAAGAACCTTTTTTTAAAAATGATTACAAGTTTGGTCCTCAAGGATCCTGTTAACCAGTAAATCCTTGTCAAAACTTTTTTGGATTTGATCTTCCCAGATTATCGTTATTCAATTAAAGCTGGGTCTACTGGAATAATGAGGAAAGATAACTTATTCAAGGTCACAAACTTTCCCTTGCTAACCAAGACTAGAACCCTCAACTATCATTTGTTTAATGTAACTAAGCAAATAAAGTAAAGATTCTAACAAATTCCAAACTATTTTGTGGTATCAGTAATGCTCAGATTTAATCAAAATCTATGTAGTGGGATGTCCATTTATTGGGAATTTGGGATTATAACAATCACAACAGTGCAATCCAATTCAGACTATATTGATTATATTGAGTCAAATAATTCACAAATTCCACTATTGTTATTATTTATGATTTTATCTCAAGCTGAGTTGAATTAGGTCTTGAACCTTTACACAAAACTCTTCAATTGGCAAGTTCAGTTGGAAAAGTAGAACACCGACCAAATTTCACTACAAAAAGTTTTAAAGAAATTAAACTGTTGAAATCATGGATAT